CGGAGGGGCGTCCCGGGTGGGGGGTGGGGGGTCCCGGGTGGTGTCGGTGTTACCGGTGCTGGGTAGCGCCGTTCCCGGTTCCGATGGTATCGGTGCGGCCGGTTCCGGTGTTTTCGGTTCCGGTGGTCCCGGTTCCGGTGTTCCCGGTTCCGGTGGTCTCGGTTCCGGTTCCGGTGGTTCCGGTGCCATTCCCGGTGCCGTTCCCGCGCAGGTCCGGGAAGCTGAAGGTGCCCGAATGGGCGGACACGGTGAAATTGGCCAAGCACAAGGAGCTGGCGCCCTATGACGAGAATTGGTTTTACACCCGGGCAGGTGAGAGAGAGACCCCGCCCCAAATCCCGGGGCTCTCCCCACCGGGGGTCCCGGTTATTCCCGGGGGGTCCCTGAACCATTCCCGGGGGTCCCTGAGCCCTTCCCAGGGGGTCCCGAGCCATTCCCGGGGTCTCTCCCATTCCCGGGGGTCTCTCCCGTTATTCCCGGGATGTTTTCCCGTTATTTATTCCCACGATATTTTCCCGTTATTCCCTGGATATTTCCCGTTATTCTCAGGATATTTCCCGTTATTCCTGTAATATTTTTCCCGTTTTCCCACCCTTTTTCCCGTTTTCCCACAGCCTCCACGGCCCCACACCTGTACCTGGGGATTATTCCCATGAACCCCTGGGGATTATTCCAGATAACCCATGGAGATTATTCCCGTTAACCCACGGCCATTTATTTCCTGTTATCCCCATGATATTTTTTCCCGTTATTCCCTGAATATTTCCCCATGAACCCCATGATGTTTTTCCCAATATTCCACTGATATTTTTCCCATTTTCCCGCTCTTTTTCCCGTTTTCCCGCAGCCTCCACGGCCCCACACCTGTACCTGGGGATTATTCCCGATAACCCCTGGGGATTATTCCCAATAACCCATGGAGATTATTCCCGTTAACCCACGGCCATTTTTTCCCAATAACCCACGGCCATTTCCCATTAACCCCATGATATTTTTCCCGTTATTCCCATGATATTTTTCCCAATATTCCACTGATATTTTTCCCGTTTTCCCGCAGCCTCCACGGCCCGACACCTGTACCTGGGGATTATTCCCGATAACCCACAGCCATTTCCTGTTAACCCCTGGGGATTATTCCCGATAACCCACGGCCGTTTCCCATTATCCCCATGATATTTTTCCTGTTATTCCCTGGATATTTCCCGTTATCCCCATGATGTTTTTCCCAATATTCCACTGATACTTTTCCCGTTTTCCCGCAGCCTCCACGGCCCGACACCTGTACCTGGGGATTATTCCCATGAACCCCTGGGGATTATTCCCAATAACCCATGGAGATTATTCCCGATAACCCACGGCCATTTTTTCCCAATAACCCACAGCCATTTCCCATTAACCCCATGATATTTTTCCCGTTATTCCCGTGATGTTTTTCCTGTTATTCCACTGATATTTTTCCCGTTTTCCCGCAGCCTCCACGGCCCGACACCTGTACCTGCGGGGCGGGGCGGGCGTGGGCTCCATGGCCAAGGTTTACGGCGGCCGGCAGCGCCGCGGGGTCCGGCCCAGCCACTTCAGCCGCGGCTCGGGGGCCGTGGCTCGCCGCGTCCTGCAGGCGCTCGAGGCCCTCAAGGTGGTGGAGAAGGATCAGGACGGGTAAATTTTGGGCTAAAAAATGTCATTTTTGGGGTTTTTTTTCTCATTTTGTTTGGGTGGATTTTTTTCCTGCTTGAATTTGGGTTTTTTTTGCTCTAAATTTGGTTTATTTCTCTTGATTTGCGCTTTTTTCCCCTCTCAATTTGCACTTTTATTTTCCCCACAAATGGTAATTTATTCTCCTCTTAATTTGCTTTTTTCCCTGCTCATTTTGCACTTTTTCCCCTCTCAAATTGTAATTTATTCCCTTCTTAATTTGCATTTTTTCCCCCCTCAAATTGTAATTTATTCCCTCTTATTTGCATTTTTTCCCCCCTCAAATTGTTATTTATTCCCTTTTCAATTTGCACTTTTTCCCCCTCAAATTGTAATTTATTCCCTTCTTAATTAGCATTTTTCCCCCCTCAAATTGTAATTCCCTTCTTAATTTGCACTTTTCTCCCTCAAACTTTCCCCTTTTTCCTTTAAATTTTGTATTTTTATCCCATTTTTCCCCCTCATTCTTATCCCATTTCCCCATTGAAAAATCCACATTTTCCTCCCCAGTTCTGTACCAAAAATCCCCCATTTTTATCCCATTTTCCCATTCAGAACCCCCAATTTCAATCCCCCAATTCCCCATTTCTCCTTTTTCTGCCCATTTCCTCGTTTTTACCCCATTTTTTACCATTTTCACCCCATTTTTCTTCACCCAGGGGCCGCAAATTGACTCCTCAGGGGCAGCGGGACCTGGATCGCATCGCCGGGCAGGTGAGTCCCGGGATTTTTACCCCAAAATCCCTTCAAATTTAAGGAATTTTAACCAATTTCCCTTTTTTTTTCTTTTCCTCCTCACCCAGGTCGCCGCCGCCAGCAAGAAACACTGAGGGAACCAAAAATAAACCAAAATAAAACGAGTGTTTTTGTCCAAAATCGGTGAAAACAACCCCAAAATCAACCCGAGAGGGGAATGCTGGGAGGGTGGGAAACCCCCCCAAAAAGGGAGAAAAAAATTTAAATTAATTAAGAAATCCTAAATTAGCGGGGAAAAGCTGCTTAAAGTGTGAGGCAAAAAAGAGAAATTTCCCCTAAAAATGCTATTTAGGGGCCTGAAAATAAGGGAAAATATCCCAAAATAGTGAGAGGGAAATCGTGTCAATGCCCTAAAAAATAAATGTTTTGATATTACGAAATTCTAAGTAAATAAGGGATTTTTAGCTGTAAATTAAGAGGGTTTAGCACAGACTGGGAGATTATCGGGGATTGAACGGCTGCAGTTGGAAAATAAATGTGTTAAAACCCCAAACTTTGCCGTTTTTGGGGTAGTTTTAGTTCCTGATATCCCCAGCCTCCAACTGCAGCAATTTTTGTAGGAGATGAGTGGAAAAAGAGGCAAATTTTGTCCCAAAATGCCAATTTTTAGCAGCAAGTGGTGGCGAAGGGGCCAAATCTGGGCTGGAAACAGATTTGGAGGAGGGAATGTGGTCTTTTTTTATAGACAAAAATCTGTGTTTCACCTGCGGTTTTGGGTTTAAATCACCTAAAATTGGTGGTTTTGGTGCCGAGCCTCGCTCTGCTTCCGTCAGAGTCTCAGGAGACTCCAGGATTGGGGAAAAAAAAACCCAATTCCGCCTTTCTCCTTTAATTTTACCTCAGAAAATTAACTTCTACCTCAGAAAACGCTTTATTTTCCCCTCAGAAACCCAGGGTTTCTTTCCCCTTAGCTGAGAATTTTTTACCTCGCCGAATCAAAATTCGGCCTCAGAATATTTTCCTCAGGAAAAAAAAAAAAAGGGGGTTGCCTCACGAAACGGTGTTTTTTGGTGAAAAGCAGGCTCTGGCCCCAAACGCGGTGATTTTTACCTCAGAAATTGGTGATTTTTACCTCAGAAAACGCAATTTTCCCTCCCGCAGCGTCCGCTCGCCTCAGGGACTGCGGGGAGAGGGCGGGGCCGAGGCGGAAGGGCGGGCTCTGATTGGTGGAGACGGCGGGAGGGGGCGTGGCCGCGGCCAAGGGCGGGAAAAGCGCTGCGGGAGAAGCCGGGACGAAGCCGCCATTTTGTCCGCGGCGCCTCAGGGGGAGGCGGCGGCTCCGGGCTCGGCCGCCATGGGTGAGTCCCCGCTCCTTTCGCCTCCACACGACGCTGGCGATGGCCGCTCCACGCTCGGGGACTCCTGGCAGCGTTTGGAGCGCGCCCGGGGTGGGTTCGCCCTCACGGCTGCTGTGGGGCAAGAGGCTCGCGCCTCACCCGCGCTTGGTGCCATCTCTCAAAGTTTTCAGCGCTTTCCAAAGGTTTCACCAATTCCCGAAAGGTTTCCAAACTTCCCAAAAGGTTTCAGCTCCCTCCTCCCAGTCCTCGGGCAGTGGCAGGGCCGGTTCTGCCGCTCCCTCAGCCGGGATCCCCTCAGGGCTGTGGGATCCCCGCCATCACCTTCATCATCCTCTCCCTCCTCTGAGGAGGGCTCGCCTCATCCTCCACCATTTCGCGTTAAAAATGCACAAATCTGAGGCGGATCGCTGCTCCTTTTACCAAAACTCCAGTCCCTGGCGTGTCCCAAACGCTTTGTTTGGCCTTGAACCCCCTTTTGGCCTTGTTTTGCCTCTTTTTACACGTTTAAATCGCTTTTCTCCCCCATTTCAGGCGTGTTTTAGGCCGAATTTGTTGCCGGTTTGGTGCTGGGCAGCCTCATTTTTGCCATTTTCCCCTCATTTTTTCCTTCCTTGGCCTTATTTAGTCCCATTTTGGTCTCTTTTAGTCTTGGTTTGGCCCAGTTTTTATTGTGCTTTGCCCCATTTTTTCCCCTTTTTAATTATTTTTTGTTCTCTTTAGCCACGCTCTGACCTCGTTTTGACCATTTTATTCCAATTTTACCCCAATTTAGCCCCATTTTACCCCAATTCGAACACAATTTGACCACTTTATTCCCATTTTACCCCAATTTGGACACAATTTCACCCCATTTTTACCACTTTATTCCCATTTTACCCCAATTTAGCCCCATTTCACCCCAATTCGAACACAATTTGACCCCTCTATCCCCATCTTCTCCCCCAATTTACCCCATTCACCCCAATTTTTCCCCAAATTTTACCCCAATTTTCCCCCACTTTTTCTCCTAAATTTTCCCCCATTTTTTTCCTCAGTTTCCCCCAATTTCTCCTCATTTTCCCCCAAATTTTTCCTCAGTTTCCTCCCTTTTTCCCCCCTTTTCTCCTCATTTTCCCCCAAATTCTCTCCAATTTTTCCCCCAAATTCTCCCCAATTTTTTTCCTCACTTTCCCCCTATTTTTATTCCAATTTTTCCCCATTTCCCCCCCAATTTTTTCTTCAATTTTCCCCCCAAATTTTCCCCCCCAATTTCTTCCTCAATTTCCCCCCAATTTTATTCCATTTTTCCCCCCTTTTCTCCCCATTTTCCCCCAAATTCTCCCCAATTTTTTTCCTCAATTCCCCCCCTTTTTTCCCCAATTTCTCCCCATTTCCCCCCAATTTTTTCCCTCACTTTCCCCCCAAATTTCCTCCAATTTTCCCCCAAATTCTCCCCAATTTTTTCCCCAATTTTCCCCTTTTTTCCCCATTTTTCCCCCTTTCCCCCCATGTCCCCCTCCCCTCCCCC